AACTTCGGCATCCATCATCGTTCTGCTACGCTCTCACTGCCAGAAGGCGGAAAGCAAGTTCTGACGGCCATGTACCTGAATGACCGACCAGTACAATCTTCGATAACGGCGATGTCATGAGGGACAGGTGGCCAAGTTCTACGGGAAACCATGGGTCCCTAAACCTCATAGTTTCGCATCCAGACTTCAGATCGGAGTTTCGAACATGCAGTGCTTCACTTAATTCAAATACTGTGAATTAATGATTGAGTGACCGTGTGACTGACTAAACCCTATCGTCACTAATTTGCACGTACTTTTCTGCACTAGAGCAAAACCAAAGGGGGTCAGTTGTTCCGAGGATGCTACCACAATCCAAATGAGTGACATGCTTGGTGAACAAGCACTGCCATTCAGGAAGACATACGTCGTAAAGAGCAGGTAGGATTCTAATTTTCTCACTAAACTGCGTCGTTCTGGTCATACATTATGAATCTGAAGGGATTCAATCATTCATTAATTCTCCGTTCATTCAATCATTCATGATTTCATATAATCATTCATTTTTTCTTTCATTCATTCTTCTACCAATTTACTCCTCCTGTTTGTGGAAAGCGATTCTGCAGCAGTATGAATTCTTTCGTTCACTCGTCTTCCTTTGCTCATTCATTTTTTGCGCCTGAATTTCTACGAGTCGAAGTAATATTTATTACACGGGCTGTCTGCCGATGATTGCAGTATCGTGTACCAATCGATTCCTTGAGCTGGATTCAAAAACATGACAATGCCAGGCATTTAATAAAATCGAACAATTTTGTCCTCCGTCGTTCCGTTGACCTCTTCCCCGTGGATCTGACAAGTTCTCCTTGAAGATAGTCTTCTTTAACCCCATCACCTCTATTATAATAACTTTCCTTCTGGGTTACGTCTCATGCTGATCACCGTTCAGCTGTCAGGGCGTGTAAGGCAAATACTAGCGTTGAAGCTCATGATCAGGCAACATGGTCGTCTGTGTGTGCATGTACATGTGGATGCATGTCGTACCCTATTGCATAACCATATAACAGTCGAACTTGCTACGCGTTTACAGATTGCACTAAAGTACAGTAGGATGAATTCTTCGCTCAATGGAAATAGGAAGTGAAATAAGAACGGGACTGGAAAACGGTACCTAACGTGCAGAGTAACATTTTTACCTTCTGCCCCACTGTCCCCTCTCTAGGCTATCGCAAGTGTGCAGTATAGACGTTGCGAGAGTGGCTGAAAAGCCACGAAATTGCATGCAACATGGAAAAATCTGAAATCTTGGAAGTTTCTTCTCAAGGCCTTCTGACTCCTACTGACTGCTGCGGACAACCTACTACATTCGTGAAACTTCACCATCAACTTCACCTAAGATGAAGAAAGCCCGCGAAACACGGGCCGAAACGATAGTACTGACCGCAGTATCTTTTGCGTTGTATATAAGTAAACCGTGTTTTGCGCTAGTTTTTATTTATTAAAATAAGCATATAGGAAAATTCCAATCCGCCTCAACGCAGGGAATGGTTGCGACAGACATTTTGGCTTGACGTTAGAAATACGCGAAACAACTGATAATTACACAATTTAAAACTTATTGAATTACTTTTCAATTTCTGAATCACCGGTGATCACTGATCGATCAGCACCTCATGACTTACTACAAACGGAATAAATGTACAAGAAATCTAGATTTAAACATAGGTAGTAGCGATGGGCTTTCCGTTCCTTGTACGACATACCGAAGATCATCAACAATCAATAAAACACGAAAGCGTGTGATTAACGCATGATGGTTAATAGGTTCATAAATTATACGACAAATTAATAAGACCGTTAGGTACAGTTAGTATATTTTTTCAAAAAACTGGAAATATACTAAAGATTTGCCAAAGTCGGTGTGTCTAATCCAGTGATTTAGTAGTTTATTACCATTGCACGTTAGAGGTGCCAGTTTCAGACTCCAAACATTGCCAAAAATTTTTTTAAAACTGCTAGTTCTCTTAAAAAATTAATTACCTGCTGTGCTTTTGTGAAAACAACTGAAAAAACATATACGCGAACAGGACGTTTGGTAGAGTCTCCGGTGTGGTACGCCAGAGACGACAAGACTTCAGGTTAAGCTGTCTCATGCATCGTAGTAATGCATGAAATCCTTTCTGACACGCCATGTAGTGGAATAAAGCACAGCGCAATGTGCGGTAAAATAATGCAAAATTCGTCTAATATTGTTGCCTTACACGTGAAAAGGACAGATCCTCGTTTCCGAATAGATCAGTGAATTCAGTCCAACTGAATTATTTTTCGACAAATCAGTAGGTAAACAGAAAAAATACAGATGTGAGGCGTCAGTAATTGGCTAGAAATTAGCCATTATATTCCATCAGCACTTCCGATAACTTCGACAAATTCAGCGTGTGGCGGTGGTGCACCCGCAAATCCCATGGCACCTTCGTTCTTTTCTACTTCCAATCGTCACTGAGATACACATGAAAAATTAGAAGAAATAGCACTGGGGACAGAGGAACTTCATCTCTAGGTATGGTATAAGTAAGTGACCGACACTTGGGTCCTGTTGCATCGTGGACGCAAGCAGCTCGACGAATTCCTGGAATATTTGAACAACATCTAGAAGAAGATCCAGTTAAAATATGCAGTCGAAGAACGTGGAAAGCCTCCGTTTCTAGACACTTTAGTGTATATGGAAGGAGATGCCCTAAGAAAAAGCTATTTACACCCTTATGCATTAAGTATACATCTGACACGTAGATATTACGGTGAAAGCAGCTGGACTTGTACAAATCATACATCTTGAAAATTTACTGCGATAGAATGACAAATTGATCAACCAGTTAAGGGAAAACAGCTATTAAGAACCCTTAATCTTCAAACAGTTTAGACCAGTAGCAAAATGAAGTTGAAAGTAACCTAGCCGCATGGGACAACTTTAATAATATCTTGCCATTTGTGATTTCTTATCAAATAAATTTTAGCAAAAGGATGCAAAGCTTCATGAACAAATACGGCGATAGGACAACATGCCGCGCCTCTCAGATGCTAAGGGCTCTTCAATATAATGAGGAATCTTTCCACAAATAGATGATCCCGTGGTAGTGCATTCCCTTAGTTGCACTTGTAGCGACGTCTGCGTTGGAGAATCCTGACGAAAACTCGGAAATATAGCACGAAAACATGTTCACTGCAGAAGCTGAGCAGATGATTGTGGATCAGAGCTGGCAGAACATACCACTTAAAGAACCATATCATCCAAGGGCAATTGAGTGATATTGTGCAAGATGATTCGAAAAAGGGGAAGGTTGAGAAAGGTAAGATATTGGAAGACTTAACAGCGCAACAATCCAGCAGCAAAGTGGATAGACGTAACAGAGGTACACGGATAACGGGGCTTCGTTACCGCTGTTGCGCCATTAATTCTTCAGTATTTGACTTTGGGTTATATTTATTGTTCCACAGGTATTGTCTTACAATATGTGCCATTGCACATTGTGACATAATTTCATGGATCGCGCCTTTGAGTTCAAACTACGAACACGATTCCAACTATACTCGTCATTCCAACGTAGGGGCATGGGGCAACTGCGCCAACCTTGGCTTTTCCAACAGGTTGCCTTCCACTGAGATGTAGATTCTTTGTTGATACTACGCTGGATTTGACAACGGCACGCCCTTCTCAAGCCGTTTTAATTTATTTTAACTATAAATTGAATAATGCAAAGAAGTATTTAAGTAAGTGAATAATTTTTGGAATTTAAGTTACAACTAGTGTCTCGTTTCACTTAAATGTCTGAGAGCTCTAGAAACTTCATAGAGTCCCTACTTTTTACAGTACGTTTCTACGGTAACAATTAAATGTTGCAATGTTGTTCTAAATAAGATTTAAATAATGGTCACATAAACATAAAAATGATTATGTGACATATATTAGCAACAACCCATAATCGAAATCCTATACTTAAAACCTTCATATATCACAAAATCCTCGGCTATAGCTTACATCAAAAACATGTCACAATACATTTGGCAAATAGCACAAAGAGCGATAAGCGCTTAAGACAATGCATCATCAGATTCATCGGCTCGCTTAAAAATCTGCTGTGGCGTAGCTTCGAACTGCATGGCGAGTTCTGATATTTTTTGGTCGATTGTTTCCTTCTAAAATAGATATCTTTTTAATCAACCGTAAATGGATCATCGAAATCAGAATAGTACCCACAGTGCTTTCTGTTTCAACTGCATAATACTGAGCCATTGCCTACAAGTCAGTTGTGTTTGACGCTTCTGAAACTGAGCAAACGGACACATTTCACTGTGCTTCAGATGTTCGCTCCTAAAAGAAGTTTACATGTCTTACGTCGAACCGACAGAAGAACGCTTCGCCAACCAGGGGTCATCTTCCGGGCACCAACTGTCCAGATCTTTTGCGCAGACGAAGCATCTCACGGCGTCCGGGTCGCTTTTCGAAGGAATGTGGAAAAAGCCCGCTTCAGCCATCTAAAAGTCGGTGAGATTAAAAGCAGAAAATGCCTACGAGGAGTTCATTCTTCAACGGCTGGTTTACTTCACATCCATCAGTCAAATCAAAATGTTCACTGGACTAGCGATGTTGTCCGCAATAGTACCACCGAAACGTTTTATCGATTGCGTTACTCATTGGTATAACAAGCAAAAACCACATGCCACAAGAAACGAAAGAAAAATCCCATAGTAAGAGGAAGAAAAATGAAAAAAAAATGGATAAAAACTTAATACGCCAATGAATGATACACAAGTTTCCATCTCTTTTCTGAAATAAGCCCTATGTTGTCGCATCAGGTAAACATACGTACTCCTAGTTTGTCAGCGTAACCATTACATTTACAGTACTATACAATTGGCACTCCAAGCAAATTTATTAACATATGCCACCTTAACGCAGCTTAACTCCAACACAGCTCAAAATTCTCCCGATGAAAGTTACGCCTAATACCAATTAAAGTTAGCCACCCACACCGGGGGGGGAAACGATAAACCACACTACATTTCACTTACCTACTCAATGTTTTTACACTAACTTATTTAAACAATAAAGTAAAAGTATCTAACCAAATGAAATATATTCATAACACATTCACAAGGTTCACTGGGAGTGCAGACTGACGGAAACTTAATCAACCGGAAAGTATAAAGGGATAAACGTTGTTTACAGGATTGAGTACAATGGCTACAAGATCATCAGAAAACCATCAGCAGATTGGACAAAATGGTTGAGGAACATCTAGCAATTTTGAAGAATGAGAAAACGGGTCATTCTGGTGTCGTATCTCATGCTCTCGATATGGAACACCCCCTCAATATAAATATGAATGTCATTTACGTTTATAAAGAGAACACAAACATCGAGCCATTAATAATATTAATACTTTAAATAATAATACCTGTAGTTACACGTTGTGCTGATGATTATACTCGATAATCGGCTATCAGGTGGATTAAGACGAAGTACAGCTATAATGAGCACTCGCATCGGACACCACGTCTACTGCGACAGAACCGGACCGCTACACAACGTTATCCGTACCTTTCACAAGTTAACCTACTCACCGATTACCTGCTTCTCGGCTGACTGGATCGAAGCAACTTGGGATCAATCCCTTGCTGAGGGGAATTCATGGTAAAGACAAAGGTTCAACCCTTTGCAAATCTGAACCTGGCACTTGGAGCTCGAAAGAGACTACTCTACCAATGCGACACCAGACCCAATAATCAAAGAATTTTTATGCATGCTGGCTAACTAATGCCAACTGTGAAATGAATGTGAATTTGCGTCAGCTTGTTCGAAAGAACTAATGGAAACAATCTTACTGCTACTGAAACTCTGATACAACTATTCATAATAATATACTGAAACTTCATGAGCCGTTCGTACGCCTGAGTATGTCAGTTAACGAATGACTGCTACAAGACCAGACTTCATGCATGCTGCACCGCTCTGTTGCTCCTAGCTATCTGGGGATGTAAGCACGCTATGGCTCCATGGTACTTAAGCACCTGCCCTGCAAATGCAGGTGTATCAGATACATGACTTATCTTATTACAGCTGAATGAACTGCTACTGCTTATATACTACCGCATAAACATAATTATCTATTCATATTTTGCCCCCAGTACGTCAAATAATGAATGATTCCTCCAAGTCCAGATTTGAGGCGTACCAATGAGCCATGGCCTGCTAAGATAGCCCTAGGTAACTAGGAAAACAGGGGCGGTACAATACGCCGTGAAATCTAATTCTGTCTGAGTCTTGGTAATTTCACATACACGGGCGTAACAGATCCTGAAACATAATTCATGACGAGCACGAGGTGGTTCTAACAGGAAAAT